TTTGTTTTACCCCCAATTGTACAGGTAAAATCTGTTCATGTAGTAAGTTTTAAAACAAAGGAATTTTCAAATTTTAACAAAAACCTCACTGACATAGGAAATCATCATATGCCTAATGTACTGCGATAGCAACTAATTATCTTTCCTCCCAATTATCTCCTGTGATCCAAAAACAAATATACTAAAAAACAAAAACAAAAACAAAAAAATATACTCTCCCACCCCGGGTTTTTTTTTTTTTTTTAATTCACATTCAGTAGTTTATAATTGGGTAAACAGTCAAATGCATTTCACTTTGAAATGAATGTTTTCTTGAAACACTAATGTTTTCATGAAACCAAATCTGTGTTACTTCTATATTGTCCTTGAAAAAGCTATCATTTCAAAGGTGGTTTAATTTTTATGACTACCGTTTGCAAATGGCAGTGTCACCTAATACACTGTTTTTATTTCAATGCCTATCCTATCAAATATTTTATAATTACAAAATGCCCACTTAAGTCCATTGGACTTCCCATTTGAAGGAATCCTTAAGCAACTCCAGTTTCAGTATCACTGTTTTATAAGAAAATGTGTGCATAATAATTTTTATTCCCCAAATAAGGATTCTCCTATTTCAGTATCACTGTTTTATAAGAAAATGTGTGCATAATTTTTATTCCCCAAATAAGGACTGGTATATGCAATCTATGCTGCACCTCAACTGTTCAGAAATCAGCTGTCAGATAATCTCAGGCCTCTGAAACAAAGTGGCTAGCCTAGTTGATGAACACAAAGTAAATTTTAAAAAACTGCACCACCTTCTGTGCCCTTAGTCAGTAGATGGGACAGATCCATACTTAAACTCTCACCTAAACAGTATATGTTATGCAAATGTTGATTTTAATATTAGTCAATATTACACACTGACAGCAAAAGACAAGAATTACATAACAAAAGTAAAACAAGACAAAACACAACAAACGCCCATTACACGTAGCACCCGGACATAAAACTTATCAGTTTAGGACAATTTAGGAAAACAGTTCTACACAGCAAAAGCTTCTGAGGAAGTCACATAAATTCCGTGAAGGGGCTGATGTTCATAATGACAACTCTGGGCCATAAAAACAAACAAACAAATAAGAAAAAAAAACGTTAAATTATACTCCCTTTGTTCTGTTTAAGAAAACAGAGGCTAAATTTTCTATTTCAGAAACATTTTGAAAAAAATGTTCATACAAAACAAGTTTTGGCACATAAAAAGATAAGATTTAATTATCCACAAAATTAACAGATGAGAAATATACCATTTGTTAATAAGGCCTAATGAATGAGTAATCACTCAAAGTAAAATTCTCAAAGTTAGACTATACTATGGCTGTCTTTTAGAAGTTGAACTATGATAAAGTGCAGTAACATTTTGGGGGCTTCAAACATGGAATTCCCTGTCCGAAGCCAATTCTTGGTTAATAGTCAAAAGAATATCTGATAATTTTTGAAAGCTAGTCAGGCAAATTTTCCACTTAAATGGCTGGACACACTCAAGAAAATATCCTGATTTCACTTTTCACTTTGTTTTCTTTAAATTGTGACTGCCAAGTAGACAGGTTGATCTAGTTTCTAGCTCTGACTTGCTAAATGACCTTGTCCAAGTGACTCAATCTCTCTAGCCCTCCTTAGTTTCTTCATCAGTAAAGCGAAGGAGTTATACAGAGTACGACATGTAGTAATAAAGTAAACCACAGAGTTACTACCTTAAGTCTTATAATCTATTTCTTCACTTTATCTATACATCTAACTATACGTATACTATTTTGAAACTATCACAAACTATATGCCACTTTATGTTTAAGGCCTAGAGTAAAAGAAATTATAAAAATTTCAGAATTTTTCCAATATTTAATATGTGTTACTCTCAAGATATAACAAACTTCTCATGTACTCATTTAAATTCATTTAAAATACCATATAATCAATCATCTTTAACCCGAAAATATATGACTTTTTCTACCTTACACAGATAAAAAAACATATGATATGTAAAAGAACATTCATGGCAATGTCATTTATAACAGCCAAACACTAGAAACAACCCAAATATCCACCAACAAGAGCATGAATGAATTCTGTCATAGTCATTCCCAAGGAATAATATATAATGATGAAAAGGAAAGAATATCACTTGCAACTACATAGATGATTTTCAAAACATAATGCTGAGTAAGGGAAGAAAGAATACATATGATTCCAGACAATGGCACTTACCAGCTGACCCACCCATGTCCCATGCTGCCTGATACCCCAGTGGGTACCCCACAGCCATGTCAGGATCATGGTGTAGCAGGCAAGCACCACTCTGAAGGAAAGCATGAAGGCAGTCAGAGGCGCCAGTCCTCGGTCAGTATCCAATATGAGCTCTGAGCTTAGCCATATGTTCTGGACCTCAGCTCCACCACCCCCAGCCACCTTTCTGTCTCTGTGACCAAAGCTGCCACCCGCCAAGAACTGCTAGACAAGGCAATGGAGACCCTTCAGCTGACCGGAGTGCTAACACTGGTGCTAGAGAGGATGGGACCTCTATGGAGAGCAAAGACTTCTTCCAATTGTTGGAAGATGACACATACCTGATGGTGCTGGATTTGGGGAAAAGCTGGACCCCAGCAGGAATGGGTGCTGTCATATGGCCCAGGCCGGGAGAACACCAAGCACAGAAAGGACATCACCCTCATCACCTTCCACATAGAAGCAAAACCCCTGGAACTTCTTTGGCAGCCTAACATCAAAGCCACATTCTACAAGCTCTACTCCATGAACTGTGACCTCAGGGACCTGGTCCAAAGAAAGTACCAGGGGGCTGTTCCAGTTGGACCTCCTTGTTGCTGCAAGGCCTGGGCCATATGTTGCTGGGGATTTCCTCCACCCTTCACCATGCAGTAGAGGGGGCTAAGCAGTGGCAGCAGCAGCAGCAACAGGGTGGCCTCCATCCCTCCTGAGAAGGGGTTCTGAGCTTCTGCCCCTAGACTTGTTCTAAGAAACACAATGTGAGCACTGTGACAATATCAGGTTTGGGGTCCTGAAAGCAGTACACACTAGATAACCCACCTGTTTCCCCCCAGTGTTCTCTGACTGCATTTTGATAGGACCCATCCACCCCTAGTCTATACCCTTTCCTGAAGAATGCTGTCCCTTCGTAGCCATCTTTCCAGCCTCCCATTTACTGTGAAAGGCCACAGGCCTCTCCCCAGGCATCTTGATTCCACCCTAACTGTTGCTACATCTAAATGTTTTAGAACTCCTCCTGTCCCTAAGCTCCCCAGTACACTGAAAAGAGTCCTCTCTGATTTTACATTGAGATCTCTAATTCTTTATACCCTTCTCTTCCAAAATAACGAAAACATTTCTAATAAAAAATATTGCTTACAAAAAATACATGCGATTCCATAAAGATTAAAGAGACAAAAAGTGAAAATATTTCTGAGAAATACATAAAAATGATAAAAATTATATAGAGTTTATATAAATAATTACCATAAAAATCAAGACAATCGTTACTTTTAAAGAAAAGGAAGATTATATCAAGGGTTTCTGGGATACCAGTAAAGATCTATGGTTACAGGGATGCTTGTTTTGTACTTATTCCTTTTACATTATTTTTTTAACATTTTATTTATTGAGAGAGAGAGAGAGAGAGCATGAGCAGGGAGGAGGGTGAGAGGGAGAAACAGACTCCGCGCTGAGTGGAGAGCACAATGCGGGGCTCGATCCTGGGGACTCTGGGATCATGACCTAGGCTAAAGGCACACACTTAACTGACTGAGCCACCCAGGCACCCCTACATTTATGTTTCTATATGATGTTATGTTTTATAATAAGTTTAAAATGATATGTTTTCTGAAATAATATATTTTTATAGAGAAGGAAAAGAGGGTTCCTCTTTTTTGCTAACAATTTATTTTCTTGTCTACATTTCTAATTTTTATTGTAATATTTAATAATAAAGAAATAAGTTACTATGCCTAATTTTCTACAATCCTAATTAAGAGTCAATTTCACAGGCTTTCCCATGGCTACAAAAAAATATAAGAATAGCTACCCTATTAAGTCTTTGCTTAGCTCAATGTTGTTTCTGTTACTTTTTCTTCTTTTCAACGAAATGTATGCTTACTTTCAAAAAAAATCTACATTACATCTAGGTAATAATTTTATACAGGCTGCACTCCAAAAAATACATTTTAGCTCACGAGAAAGAAGAAAAATACTCTTCTTAACTGTCACACATTTTCTAACAATTTTGGGAGCACCTGTGTATGCACACAATGTGAGGTTTCATAATAGGATGGACATAGACATGACACTTGAGGTCCAACCCAACGTCACTCTGTGTAAATATTTTCACTGTGTGTACTAGAAAACATGATAGTTGGATTATAGGATGAATATACAAAGCAAGTTACACTTAAAGTCCACTGTATAAAGTGTAGCATAGGGTGATCCATTAAAAATAGATCCAATAATGCCTAATTTAAATTATACTGGAGCTGTTTTAAATATTTCCTTTGGAAAAACAGAAGTACAGGAAATTAAATTACAAAAAACCAAAAGAATAAAAATAATAAACTGACTTCAGTTATAAACATTATATACATACAATTTAGAAAATCCCATCATCTACAAGCATCTTTCAATGTATGTTTGTTATAACTTGTAGATACCATTACACAAGCAGACAATGAAATGTAGAAGCAAGACCATCAGCACCTTCATCATACTCCAGATATCACACAATCACAATGGTATCACCCACTACAATAAAGTTGCTTTTGTTGTATACTGTTGTTTTTCTATGAATGCACCCTCTTTAGTGGATCCAGCTAACCAGTTATTTGCCCATCTATTAAGTGCCAATTTAAAAAATTACACTGTGTCCAGCAGGGAGCAGCATTACAACATTCATAAGACTTAACATGAACATGAAACTGACAGAAGAAAAAGGAGTGGAAAAAAAAAAAACCACTTACCATAGGTCTGTTCTACAATACATTCAATTTTTAGGACAGATGCAAGGCTTCCAGAAAAAAACATCTAAAGCATGTCTCAAAGTATATATGGATAATCCACAAATTCAGGATTCCTAAAGCAGGAAATCAAAATTATATGAGGTAAAGGATTCCTTCAGCCATGTTGAGTTGAATTAGTATATAATATAACTAAATGTCTCTTAGTTGTTAAGGTATATATTCCTCTTAGTGAGTCAATGGGATTTTGCATTCAGATATATGATAATACTTTGGATAAAACAATTAAAAATACCCCAGAATAGTAATCCACCAGAAAATCTAAGCAGAAGATAGTAAGTGGGTGACATATCAATCAAACTAGAGAGAACGGTGGTCAAGGACTTAAAGGAGTTGATCAGCCAAATATATGCAGTTCTAATATATTAAACTCTAAACAATTTGCAAGTAACAGGATATAACGTCATTTCTACATGTCAGCATGAATACCTGAAGTTAATTTTAACATTGAAAAGGCAGCAGAGAAGTAGTGTATAATGCAGATATGTTAAGACTGATTAGTCAAATACTTACCGAATACAAGTAATGCACATGATAATGCAGAAAAACTCTGTGATGAGTTAAAATGTGACAAATGAAAAACATACTATGTTTGATACTGTCTTGGATGTCAAAACCTGCCTCCTATTCAACTAAAATAGCTCCATGTCTGGTCTTATGACTGAAAAAAAATTTTTTTTCCAATTATAAAATGAACTTTCAGTTATAGAATAAGTAAGTCACGGGATATAATATACAGCATAGGGAACTTTGGTTCCTAAAAGCATTGCAGTAACTTTGGTGACAGATAACTAGACTTATCATTTCATAATGTATAAAAATAACAAATTACTATGATGCATACCTGAAACTAATAGGACTGTATGTCAATTTTACTTCAAAATATTTATTTCCACTTTTGAGATGTTAAACAGTTTGCTTCCCATGTGTTTACATGCAACATTTCAGTGTCTACACTGAAAAATAAAATTTTGCCATTAAAAGATAACATGAATATTCATCTTTAAATATTCATGATTATATACAATTTACATAATATACATCATCACAAATCAATATATTATTAATATATGAATAATATATTTATTTGAAATTTAATGAATAATATGTAAAATGGTTCCTACTATTTTCTTCTGGCAAAATAATATGAAAAGCTTGACTTAAGTATATGATAGCAAGACTACAGTGATTCTCTAACAATTATCATTAATTTTAATGAAGTCAAAAGAAACTGATGTATTAATCTTATACCCTTTAACAGTAAGTTATTCATGGCATTATTTCTTATATTTTGCCCTGCTTAGTCTTTCTCTTATCCTATTTCTTGCTTTTGTTTTTGTACATTTCACTTTTTGTGATACTTATTTCTACCAGTCTATCTTCCCTCTCTTTTCTAATACATTTGTTTCAATTTCAATTTTTGTTTTATTCAAACTCCTCCCTTTATGACCCTACCACCTTTTTCTCTTTTATGTTAGGACCCTCAAAAGTGAGTTTTTTCTCCAACAGTCTGCTTAAATATACTCTTTACCCATTTACAGGCACTGTCCTTCCTCTTAACAATGTAACCTGACTGGAAACTCAATAAACTTATATTGTTGTTACTTGTAAAAATATTTTTTCCTCTGAGTTATTTAAATATTTGAAGAACTCACTAAACATTTTGGAGTCAATCTTGAAACTCAAAAATTTCAAGAAAATTTAACCTCACACACTCAGTCCAATCAATTTGAGACCATCACTATTCTAATAAAGAGGTGATTTAGGATCTCACCACATCAGTGTGAATAAATACTGAGTAACAAACTTTTTAAAGTCAACAGAATTTTGTGCTTTTTATTCATAAGTCCATGCGCATATGCACAGTATCCTCATTAAAAACCAAAGATACATGAAATAAACCCTTCTAATAATATATTGTCAAGTCTGAAAAGAAGAGTGATTTCCCTATTCAGGATTCTCTAATATGAATATTAACATTGGTATTAGTATATTAAAAAATAATCTCAAAATATCACATTCAAATAATTTAAAAATTATGAATAGATTATAATGCATTTATAATATAATTATCTAAAAAGAGAATGTAGTGAGTTGGGTAATGTTCCTCCCTCCCCTTTAAATTCATGTCCACCAAGAATTTCAGAACATGACTTTATTGGGATGTATGGTTTCTGTAGATATAATTAAGGTAAAAATCAATATAAGATCATACTAGATTAGGGTAGGCCCTAAATCCAATCAGAATGTCCTTATAGGAGACAGAGAAGGACACATAGAGACACAGAGAAAAAGACAATGTGAAAATGGAGGCAGAGGTTGGAGTTATGCTGCCACAAGCCAAGGCACAACAGGAGCCACAAGAAGCTAGAAGAAGCAAGGAAGGATTCTCCCCTTGAGCCTTTGGAACAAACATGGTTCTATTGACACCTTGATTTTGAACTTCTGGTTTCCAAGACTAACCAAGTCGAAATTTCTGTTGTTTTAAGCCACGAAGTTTGTAGTTATTTGTTATGGAAATCCTAGGAAATCAATACAGATTTTGGTATTGGGAAGTGAAATGTTGCTCTGACACCTAAACATAAAAGAAAACTGAAGAGAGTGTTGGTAGATTGCCTTGAAGAGGCTGCTGGTAAAAACAGACATATTAAGGAGATTCTGGTAAAGGTTCAGAAGGTAGTGGACAGGATGGCAGAGAAAACTACCATCTTAGAGAATACATATATTGTCAGGAGCAGAATGTTGTAGAAATATGAATGATAAAGGGGCTTCTGGTAAAGTCTCAAGAAGGAAATGAGGAACATGTTATTGGACACCAGAGGGAAGGCAATCCTCATAAAGTAGCAGAAAATCTGGGCTGAAATGTGCTCTACCATTGAGTGAAAAGCAGTACTTACAAACAATGAATTTGTATATTTAGCTGAAGAGATTTCCAAGAAAAGTGTTAAAGGTGTGTACTGGTTTCTCCTTGCTGCTTATAGTAAAATGCAAGAGAAAGAGATAAATTGAGAAAGGAACTGTTAAGCAAAAAATCAGCACCAGAAAACTTGGACAATTCTCAGCCTATCTAGATTGCAAAAGATGCTAACATCACAAATCACTAGGAAAATACAAATCAAAACCATAATCAGATATCACTTCAAACTCAATAGGATGACTCTCATCCAAAAAACAGAAAACAAAAGTTGCCAAGCATAGAAACTGGAACCCATGTGCATTGTTAATGAGAATGCAAAATGGATCAGCCATTGTGGAAAACACTTTGGCAGCTCCTCTCAAAGTTAAACATAGATTTATCATATGATCCAGCAATTCCACTCCTGGATCCCAAATCCACTACTTCTACCTTTAGATAGGTATATATCTAAAGGAACTGATAGCACAGACTCTAACAGATATTTGTGCACCAATGTTCGTTGCAGCATTACTCAACAAGTGTCTTATCAAGAAATGTATGGATCAGGGTTCCTGAATGGCTCAGTCAGTCGACAGTCTGACTCTTGGTTTCAGCTCAGGTCATGATCTCATGGGTGGTGAGACTGAGCTCCGTGGCAGGCCCCTGAGCACTGGAATATATTCATTTTAGAGCTTATCAGTAGTTCAGTCATGATTCCCTAATTGAAGTAGTTATGTCAACCCTCTTAGGTGGCTCAAGGTCTTGAGCCCTTTCTTCTTTTTTTTAAGGAAAAATTTTTTGTGATAAAATTTACTGTTTTAATTATTACTAAGTGTACGATTCAGTGCCATTAGGTATATTTTGTTAGCATTAGGCAAATGCTAACAAAGAACAAATATATGATTCCACTTATATGAGGTACCTAGACAGGCAAACTCATAGAGACAGGAAATAGAATAAAAGTTACTAGAGGTCAGGCAATGGAGGAATGGGGAGCTATTGCTCAATGGGGAAACTGTTTGGGATGATGAAAAAGTTCTGAAAACAGAGTGGCAACGTTTATAAAACATTGTAAATATACCTAATGGCACTGAATCGTACACTTAGTAATAATTTAAACAGTAAATTTTGTCACAAAAAAATTTTCCTTAAAAAAAAAAAAAAGAAAGGGCTCAAGACCTTGAGCCACCTAATAGGGTTGCTATAACTACTTCCATTAGGGAATCGTGACTGAACTACTGATAAGCTCTAAAATGAATATATTCCAATGCTCAGGCTCAGTGACAGAAAATGATCATCACATATGATAGTAATTCATTAATTCCATGTGAATTCATTTAGGAAATGTTAATAGAAAAAGGAAACATGATTTGCTTTATTTTTAAAACAGATTTAACCTCAGAATACCAGACTATAAATTTATTTTCAAATCTTTCATTAAGAAGAATGATAAAATTATACAGGTATATCTCAGAGATACAGTAGGTTCAGTTCCAAACCACCACAATAAAGCATGTATCACAATAAGGTGACTCAAATTAATGTTTTGATTTTCCAGGGCATATAAAAGTTACATTTACGCTATACTGTAGTCTACTCAGTGTGCTTATGTTTTAAAAATGTACATACCTTAACTTAAAAAAGGTTATTGCTAAAAAATGCTAACCATCATCTGAGCTTCTGGTGAGTTGTAATCTTTTTGCTGGTGAGGGTGCTGCCTCAGTGCTGTTTGCTGAAGGCTGAGTGGCTATGGCAATTTCTTTAAGTAACACAGTGAAGTCTGCCACATGGCTTGATTATTCCTTTCATGAATGATTTCTCTGTAGCATGCAATATCATTTGATGGCACTTTACCCAAAGTAGAACTTTGAAAATTAGAGTCAATCCTTTCAAACTCTGCCACTGCTTTATCAGCTAAGTTTGTGCAACTTTCTAAATCCTATTGTCATTTCAACAATCTTCACAGCATCTTTACCAAGAGTAGATTCTGTCTCAAGAAACCACTTTCTTTAGCTCATTCATAAGAAGCAACTCCTCATCCATTCATGTTTTATCATGACATTGACATTGCAGCAATTTGGTCAAGTCTTCAGGCTCCACTTCTAATTCTAGTTCTCTTGCTATTTCCACCACATCTGTAGTTACTTCCTCCGCTGAAGG